TCATAAACAGACAAAGCCGACTCCACAAAAGAAGTCCAATCCTTCGCATCCCCTTCTTCTGTGATCGTGCTGAAGGTCACGGATGATTTCCATTTTTGAGCCACTTCCTTGTACGTCATCTTGGAGGACTGGGAATCTCTGTAGACGGCCAATTCATATATCCGCTGGACGGCGCTGCGAAACAGCAAATCATACCCTGTCCCATAGTTTTCACGGACGCTGATGCCTTCAAAATAGAGTTTCTCTTGCGTAGATGCAAGATGAAATGTCACCGGAAGTGCCAGCATCAAATTGGACCAGGACTTGAGCTCACCCATGGCAGCGCCTGCTCGAACTCTGTCCGCCACCTTGAGGACGAAGGCGTGGAGGTATTCCTCTGGTGACAGCAGCCGGAGACCTGTCGGGGCATCCTTCCCCTCAGCCAATACCTCCAGCTGGGCAGGGAGAATGCCAATCACAACCTTGCCCACCTCCCAGTTGATGTCCGGCGATGGAAAGTATTTGTCAACGCCCTTACGAACTGAGGCCTCGTTCACTGGCACGTTGGGCGTGATGGATACCAGTAGGTCGATCCAGAGCAAGTTGGCACCGCACGTGTAGCTGCCTTTGCTCTCCAGGGCTTGCTTGATGAGCTTGTGGTCATACGGAGCCTGGGTTAATTGCGCGGACATGATATTATTGCTGAGGCAACTTGCTCATGACTACTGTCAAGGCACAATGGTGGACGATGCCTGCGACCCGGTAATGGCCAGCGGTGGCTGGTGAGCCGCATCGCCAAGAACGGAGTTCTCCTTGATGGCTGTCAGGGCCTCCAGGATGCGGGTGAAATGGCGGCTGTTCACAGAGCCTTCCGCACTCACGACAGTCGCAGGTGCACCCTGGGCAGCTGCTTTGGCAACGCCACGCCCCCTGCCACGACCACGTGTGACAGTGGCCTTCTCAGCCTCCTTTGCTTTTCCAGGTTTGGGAGACATGGCCAGCACAGCAATGCAGGCTATCAACTGCAAAATCTGCATGAACACCACGGGCACCCAGAACACTTGCTTGCAAACATGCTTGGCACCAACATGTTTCATTGACAAGACTTGCCCGCCTGTCCCGTGCGTCGGAGGTGACTTCAGCAGCATCCGGCCTTGGTATGGCAAAACCTGGCAGTCCGCCTAAAACCCGGAATAGGCGGACTGCCAGGCCGAACACAGGGGAAGCACAAAACAATGAGACCCACAGAAGCAGCCCAAAAAGCAGCAGAACTACCAATAAGAACAGCACGACGACAGACACATCCCGTGGCGAACGCTGATTCGCTTGACCTGCGCCAGGAAACTGAGCATCCTCACAGCCACTCACTGAATTTAAACATCATAAAAGAAACCGGCTTGACCACACTCCGAAAAGTTTTAGAACTCATCCCTCTGCAATAACATTTGGTGGCA